TTAAATTATAATAAAAATTTGAATTAAACAAATTACACAAAAAAAACTTTTAAATAGTTAATTTGATACTAATATCGCTTATTTTTATCAAAATGTAATAATATCATCAAGTTTATATTTAATTAAAAAATAAAAACATTTTATTTTTCTTAAAACCACATAAAATCGTATTATAACATTGATAGACCCAAAATATAAAGCGAAACATTAAAATTAAGATGTATCTCGCTGCATTGCGCGAGTACCTTCCAGTTAAATTAAATTGAGAGATGAATCAACGCTTGGGAAACATGGGTTTAGTTCTCTCAAAGACTTGTTCAGCAATCATGGCTCCATTACCATTTGCTTGTTTGATCTCCAAGTTAGCCTTCTCATGAAACCCAGTACCTCTCAATGCATCCGAGATAAAATCGTCGATCGGAATTCCACTTGCAATCGCTGCTTCCGCTTTAGCTCCATATACGAGCCTCTGCAACATGTAAAACAGACTAAACAAATTAAAGAAAACCCGACCCCCCTTCCCGTCCCACCAATCATGTGAAAACACATCATTAGCAACAAAAGATTTGGGGCATGGAAGCCCTTGTTTTCACATGATTGGTGGATGTGATTCTTATCCACCAATCACGTAAAGGACACATCATTAGAGAGAGAGAGAGAGAGAGAGAGAGAGAGAGATTTTGGGGCATAGAGCCCTCTGCTTGTTGATGTAATTGGTGGACAAGAAGGGAACATGAGATTTTTGTCTCACCAATCATGTGAAGACACATCACTAAAGAATGATTTGTTTGTTTATGTGGTTTCATGTGATTCGTGGATCCATGTCTAAGGGGACGTTTATCAAATACTTACTCGGGTAAGCGCTTACCAAGTCATATTAACTCACGGGATGAATATGGTAACGACCAAGAATCTTACCCGGTAAGAGCAGGACAATGACCAAGAGTTTTACCCGGTAAGTGAGGGCGACGATTCTTACCATAGTAAGCGCTTACCAGATAATTGTTACATGCGATATCATTTTGGTGAACTAAATTCTTACACGGTAAGTAAATAGTAGTGTTAAATTTTATCCGTAAGCACTTGCCGGATAAGTATTTGGTTAATCACATAATATGGGGCTAGAACCGAACCTTAATCCTTGAAAGTTGAATGGCACCGAAGCACATAGGACAAGGCTCACAAGAAGCATACATTTCACAGTCGGAAAGATCGATTCGGTTCAGCTTTTTACATGCCTGAGATAAAACAGAAATGTCAACGATGGTTATGATCAACACCCACAAGACATAGAAAAAGTTGTAGCTGAATAATTAAGAAGAAAGAGAGAGAGAGAGTCTGTGTAACCTCTCGTATTGCTGTAACTTCTGCATGTGCAGTTGGATCAGTGTGTTCTACAACCATGTTATGGCAACTCACAACAACTTCATCTTTGTGAACAACGAGGGCACCAAATGGCCATCCATCTCCACATTCAACTCCTTTGTATGCTTCTTCAACAGCTCTTGTCAAGAATTTGTGGTCTCTATCCTCTATAACTGCTTTAAAACACACACACACACACACACACCCCCCAATGAGCTACATATTGATATTGGATTCAACCTCAACTACTAAATCAATCCATATGGGTTTTAACCAGATCAAATTTCGTTGACTTTTTACCTTTTTTTTTCCAAAGCACAAAATGAAACGAAGTTAAATTCAAACGTAACATAGATTAATGGAAGCAATTGAAAGTGGGGAAATGCGTAGAATGGAAAGGGGCAAATGGGATCCGTTACTGACTCAAACTAAAATTAAGAAGCAGATGAATGAAAGGAAGAAGAAGAAGTACCCATTTGGTGATTCTCATTCTCCATGCCAATTAATGACTGAATTTCATTCGGTATCAATGTGAAAAAAATGATTTAAGAAGTGAAAAAGATAAATAAATCACATTTGAATTTAATTGGCAGCAGTGATACTTCACCATCCTGGCCCTACCCTAATTGATGTGGTTGCTATAATTTGGATATTTATTTATTAGAGTTTTTTCATATGGTCAATGTTGTATGTTGATAAATAATTCATATATTTATTGAATATATATATATATATATATAGAGAGAGAGAGAGAGAGAGAGAGAGAGCCAAGATCAATTGTTAACCTTTCATTTTGTGTTAACCTTGTTATCTAATCTTGACCATCCAAGATTGTAATCAATGGCTGTAAATTAATCAATTAAAAGATTTAATTTTTTGAATTTTATTTTAAGTTAAGACTAGTGAACAATGATGAAGGGGGCTAATTTGGGAATAAAACTACAAACAATAGACGCGGGATTACCAAATTCAACAGTTACAAAAATCTTCTACCAAAAAAACGTCGATGATCACTTCTCATAACGGGGCTGAAAATTAGGTTCATCATCTTCACAACAAAAATGGCCGATTTGGGAGGATTTCCCGTTAATCAGCATCAAAGAAGAGGTATGTCGAAAAAAATTAGGGTTTTATAGTCGATTGATTAGTATTATATTTCAATGACATCAAATCTTTACGATTCATTGAGGAAGAAAAGTGAAAGAATAATGATCAAGACATACTTYTCAAACTTCAAGAACACCGTCGACAACCCAGTTGATGTCGATGCAGAGGCTGAGTTAGAACGAACAAATGYTTTACCAACTAATGCACAAGGCTCGAGTAAAGGCAAAGGTTTGGAAATGCTAAATAGGCTCAAGTTTGTTCAGTACTGATTTTAAGTTTATAGGGTGYTGTTTTYAAAAAATTTTACATGTAGTCTGTAAGTGTCGATATGTGATTATATTTGGGGGCAAGTGCSCGAAGATGCATACCCGATTATGATTAATAAACAGAATAACAAGTTAAAATGTACATARTCTAATATCATGTGAAATAGATAACATGCATTGTTTCAAATATTTGGAATGTCTAATATCATGTGAGCTAGATAACAGGAACTGTTCCAAAATTTTGGAATGTCTAATATCATGTGAGCTACATTACATGCACTGTTCCAAATTTTTGGAATGACCAATATAATATTATTAAGGAATAATATACATAGTTAATTTGGTTTCAACGGTCTAAACGGTTTTCATGATTATATAAATATGCTATGTTTTGTGATTAATATATGTGCTTGCTTCATTTGAACAAATTTTCATGTTCATATACTGCAATTAGCGTATGTGCATTCATGTTCATATAATGCACTTGGAGTATGTGCATTCATGTTCACATATTGCACACATGATCCATACATGTTCATATATATTGCACACATGATCCATACATGTTAATATGAATGCACTTAGATTATGTGCATTCATGTTCATATGACCATGTTCGAAATTGATTCATGTTCATAGTGAACTGTACAGAACATGTTCATAGTGAATTGTACAGAACATGTTCGAAATTGATTCATTAGATGTTCAATTCCTGTTCGATATTGATTCATTAAATGTTCATGTCATGTTCATACATTGTTCACCACACTCATGTTCATACATTGTTCGTGATGATCATTAATATTCATACATTGTTCACCATACTCACGTTGGCCCATATACGTTCACATTGGTTCATGTGTGTTCATTCTTTGCCCCATTTGTTGTCGATGCAGAGGCTGATGTATCAAGATCAAATGTTGTACCAAGACCTCCACAAGACTCGAGTAAGCAAAGTTTTGGAAATCCTAAAAACACAGGAACCCACTGGTAAACTTTTCTAATGTTACAAAATAATGAACCTTTTTTTTTCTTCGTATATATAAGGTGATTGTTAACGATTTTATAACTACATTTACAAATAGTGTGTGTGCATATCTGTTCACATCTCATCTTTGTTCACCTATCTCACGATTGTCCATTAATCTTCATACATTTGTTCAAATTGGTTCATTCTCTGTCCCATTTGATGTCTTATCAGAGGCTGAGGTAGAAAGAACAAATGTTGTACCACGACCTGCACAAGGCTCGAGTAAAGGCAAAGGTTTGGAAATCCTAAATACCCAGAAACCCACTGTTAAACTTTCCTAATGTTATAATTATTGAACCCTTTTATATGTTGTTCGAATATTTAAATTGTTTGTTAAACGATTTTATAACTAGGTTTAAGTTTGTTCACTACTGACTTTAAGTTTATATGGTGTTTTTTAATTTTTACAATTTTTTTTACTTATAGTGTGTAAGGATCGATATGTAATCATATTTGGGGGAAAAAAATGCACAAACATGTATACCCGGGTATGTCATGTGAAGTCGATAACATTTACAAATTAAAAATTTTGCGGTTTATTGGCCGCGTATGCATCAACGGTCCCCCTCACTTGAGTAGCATATGAACATTCAAACCGTAAGTGTGCACAACACACRGTATTTGTTTTATAATGTGTGTGCACAAAACACGATAATTGTTTTATGAGGTTAATGTTGGTGAGTGAACAGATCTTAGCCAGTTCTATATTGCTCAATTTGGTTCATTCTTTTGACACATTGAATGTCGATGCAGAGGCTAAGGTAGAACGAACAACTGGTGTACCAAGTATTGCACAAGGCTCGAGTAAAGGCAAAGTTTTGGAAATCCTAGGTACACAGGAGACCACTGGTAAACTTTTCTCATCTTACAATTATTCAACCCTTTTCTTGTTGTTCGATTATTTAAAGTGTTCGATAAACGATTTTATAACTATGTTCAATTTTGTTCACAACTGATGATTATGTTTATATGGTGTTTGTTTTATACAATGTTTTACATATCGTGTGTAATGACTGATATTTGATTATATCTGGGGGCAAATGCACAAACACGCATACCTGGTTTGTTATTATAAATGACAATGTTGGTCCTTACACAATAATTTCTTTTGTTCTAAGTTGTAAAGTCTTTTAATTTATATAACTATCTATATGATGCATTAAGTTATGTGTACAATTATTTTACAACACATTCATGTTCACGCCGGTTTACATTCATGTATATTTTTAGATGCCAACGTCTTTTTACGTCTTGTATATTTTTGTTCATATGCGTTAATTTTTTGTTCATATTTCGTTATTGATGCAGATTTAAAAGTCACGAAACCAATCGTTCAACAAACAAGTAAGCAAGCCGCACGAGTTGGAAAGGTGCCGGAAATACAATTACAGCACGGTAATACGTATCCTCAAATAAAATTTTCAAAAAGAATGAGGATGTTTGATATTTGATAGGTCTTTCCGCCATTCACCGCAACACCAAACTGTATATTGTTGATTTTAATTTGACTACGAACTTCACCTGTTGTGGTCACCTAATATATACAACGAACATAAACTGTCTATTGTTTATGTATACTTATTGTTTATTGTGGAGTTAATGTTTAACGTAGTACGTTCATGAATGCAGATTCGGATCCGGTTATGTTGTTGGACATTAATGTCCAAACTGAGGTTAATGCGTCGAATGATGTAATGGGTGCACCACGAAAGTCGGAGAATGAAAAAGTAAAGGAAGACACAGTTGAACGTACTGATGTGCAAGGGTACTCGTTAGGAATTAGAACCAGAACATCTCCGAAGGCATTATGGGAGACGGTTAAAGCATTAAACTCTAACCAAAGGGCATCAATCAAGGAGATGGGATTTGATGCGTTGCTTGATATGACTTTAGACGGCATTCCGTCTAAATTAGGTCATTATGTCGTGGATATGTTAGATACATCGAAWATGAMAATACAATTGCGGGATGGACAAATACCTATTACAGTCAAGTCGATACATGATGTACTGGGGCTGCCAACGGGAGGTTTAGACTTGAATCTGGTTGCACCATCCAAYGGYAACGATGCAGTTGTTTCWGCATGGCGGAAACAATTCAGTAAAGATAGAAKGAGGCCSAAGGACGTGATGAATGTKATTCAGCAATCCRAAGACGCGGGTGTGATGTTCAAGATGAGTTTCMTRGTCATCATGTTGAATACGCTTGCAGAATGCAGCAKAGTCGGTGTTTGCAATTTGGGGTTCCTCAAACGCATTGATWGCTTRGACATGATCCCAAGAATTGACTGGTGCAAATACGTATATGATTGCATAGGCACGAGCAAGATGTGTTGGAAAAGAGACAGTTTCTTGTCATTTTACGCAGGACCCCTGACCTGTTTAACGGTAAGAACGTTGTTTCATGACAATATATAAATCAACAGCTTTTTGTTACTATTTAATCAACTGCTATGTTTACTTTATGCAGATGTTATATGTTCAAGCAACAACATATGACGGCATTCAGAACCAACTGCAAGCATATCCATTGAGAACTTGGACATTGGAGTTACTGAGGAGAAAACAAGACTTGGAGCTTAGCAGAGGGGGTTTTGGATACGCAAAAYTGAAATGTWCTAAACCCATTGAGCGAGGTTCGTACGATCAATCAATTATAGATCATCACACAGCAGAGGATATACCTGRGTCTAGCAAAGCCAAAGAAGCAGGAAATCAGAATGTTACTAAAGAGGTTACTTCAATGATCTCATTCAATGTTCTTTCTCCTCTGTACATGTTCAATCAAAAAAAAAAAATATCGCATGTTATTCTGCCTTCCGATTGTGCATAATTCCTTATTTGTTATTATGGTGTTTATGGCCAATTTATGAACACAAGTTAATAGTTGATCCATTAATTCGGTGGGGCGTATATGGTTGTGTATATGTGGACTAAAAAAATACACATATAGTACAAAAATAAC